GTGTCGAACGCAGCACTAAGATCAAGTAAAACTAGCAATGATATGTAATTTTAACAAGTGCAGTTTCTGTGCTATGGTGGGGCCTGAAACCTGACTGAAATTCTTCATAGAGATCATTTTTTGCAGGAAGGAGCACAATTGAGCAGACACAACTTTTTCTAAAATTTTAGACATAAGCGGAAGATTTGAAATGGGTCTGTAATTTGCCAGTTCACTAGGATCTAGTTGTGGTTTCTTAATAAGAGGCTTAATAACCGCCAGCTTGAATGGTTTTGGGATGTGACCTAGAGATAACGACGAGTTATGTATGACGAGTTAGTTATGTACGACGAGTCACTTAGAGCTATGTATGGGTGACATGACAACAGCTTTATGAATTCAGCAGATGCTTTGAGAATCCAAGTCATGGCTGAATGTTTCTGCCATGTCCTTCATTTCATTACACAAGTCCTTCATAGTCATTACCTCTGCCTGAGGGAGGCTTGTGTTGGTCTTTAACTGCACTCCAGATAATCCTGTTTGATCAGACAATATATGCTGTGTCATTTAATGAATACTAACTGGGCTGAGTTGAATTTGAATTAAAAAAATAAAAATAAACAGTGTCATTACAGTTCTATGTTTGGATATCATTAGCAAATGACTTAAATACAAGTCTCAAGGACTTAAAAGATTTTCAAGCACCTGGTTGTTTAGATGTTAAACAAAGTTAATTTAGGTGAGACCACATGACTAGGTTTTGTCCTTGATTCAAAGCAAACATCAGCATACATGATTGCCTTCGTAAATTACCGTGCGTTGAGATTATACGACATGCAAGCTGGGTTGTGCATCTTGACGGAGCCGACCGAAGATGTGCGTACATTTACAGGCGGCAGGTTTAGCGCCACTGAGATCAATGACCAGAGGTGAAAACCTCATTAACGCTTATTGGGCAAATGATGACCTTCTGCAATAATGAACAGCAATCAATTTTACAGCATCCTTTAAACTAGCCATGGGGAAAGGAATATGCTGAAAAAGCCTTTCTCCGTGAAACACGAGGGGTTAAAAACCAGCTCGAGATTGCGTTCGCAGCGGCTGACCTGAATGAATCCATAAATCATATAAATCTATGAAGAAGGTTAGGTGGGGTCAAGGCAACCGCAAACATGAAGCGTTCAATATTTAATGACTTCCATAGTTCTTAGATAGAATTTGTGATGCAAGAATTTGCTTTTGTGAACAGCGAGTTATTACTTTAACCGCTAAATGTCTTGGTACACACCTGGCAGCTCACAGTTTTGAACTCCGTAGGATGCTGTCCACAGTCTGTCACACTGCAGGTATACATCTCAGGTGCGTGTTTCTTTGTTTTCCCCTGCTCGAATGAAGCTAAAGGTTTTTTTTTTTATTGTTTCCTTTTTGCACTGATGTCGATTCGCCCCTCTCCCTGAGGAGGGTACTAATGTACTTTATTTTTTTTCTACTGAGATGAGTCAGCAAATCACACCATTATTTCACACTAACTTTCCTGGCAATAAATTCAGCTAGACGTTCATAAACTCTCCCTGTCGGCTATTTATGTCTGAGGTGTTTGGGGTATAACAATGAATTGGTGAGGTTTCTTGCTGAATTTATGGTCTGCCATGTCAGAGTCTCACATTGAATTGCCCCCTTGAAGTTTCACTCAAGACTCTGTTCTCCTCTACTTCTAATGGAGAGAGTGAGCTGGAGAGTGTTGTCTGAGTTGTTAGTTGCCGTCTCTGTTGAAGTTTGCTGTGCAAAATCTGTCCTCTCGCACAGAAGTAACACAAAAAGTCTCTCTCAAAGAATTGTCTCTGGAGAGAAGAATCTAAAATTCTCTTTTAGGAAAGTACAGAGTCGTGCTTTTAAACCCCCATACTTAAAAATAGAAATGTGGGGTTTCGTGACTTTATTATGTGTGGGGAAAGATACCGAAACAAGACATTTGACAGCATCATCTTTCCAACTCAATCCCCCTTTTGTGTTCTCAAGGCAAACCCAGATATTTGTGTACCCACTCGAATGAGAAAAAGCGTTCTCTATTTGGTCTCATTCGTCACTGGCTGTGTTAGCTAGGCTAGGTCAAATGACCCATAGGCAAACATCTACATATAATATACAGTATGCTATTACTTGCATAACTGTAATATGGGTCCATAAAAAGATAATTTTATATTACGCTGGATGATATGGCAGTCATCTTGGACATGCTGACACCAGGGTTGTGCTAGGACTGTTGCTATATTAGATTTTCACTGCATGATTATTGTGGCCAAAAAATATCTACACAAAATAAAAAATAAATAATGGTATCAGTCAAAATAATTTTAAAAGTTGTTTATTTTGTGTTTCCAGTAAGTATATCA